ACCAGTATAGGCTTTTAAGGCCTACAAGTAAAAAACTACATTTTCCGCGAAAATGACGTCACTTCCGGTTTCGGACAGGAAATGGCGGACATGCGATAGTTCGCGTTGACGTCGTTTTCATTGTGGGAAGTGTTACGAACAGCTGATCGGATCGGCAAAGCGTGTTTCTGGAATATTATGTTTTTGTTCCTGCAAGCGCTTTTAATGCAGTTTTTGCAAAGCTTTATGTGGAAGGAAACCGTGACCCCCCACTCACTGTAAAAATAAAATAGGTCGTCTACGTCCACTGTGAACAACCATCACTGATCAGAGGGCAGGGTCCACAGCCTTTTTCACAGTCACATGGTCAATAGTGGGTCATTGACGCTCCCACTAGGGCTCTCCACCATTTGGTCTCAGAACTGGAGAAGCTTCTCGGATGAAACATCTTCAAGAAACTTAAAGAAGTTGAGACGCTTTTCTTGCCGAGCTCCTTGGATCAGCTTCTCTGGCTCTAAGCTTTAAGCTAACTTTCCATTATGAATACAATAATCCAATAAAAACAGAAGCACTTATCAATAAGACATTGTAGATTTTTGAAGGTAAAATGAAATGACCCCGACCGCACAGTCCCATACAGCTCATGATATCAGCAGCTGAACAAACGCAGCAAAGACAGGAGGCAATGAAAATACACAGGAAAATTTCAAAATACAATAACGGGATAAAATAAGACAGGCTGTTATGGTCTGTAGGCAGCTTGTGACTCCTTTAAGCAAAAGCCCCATATAAATGATTATCGCTTGCTTAATAAGAACTGCTGAAGAAATAATAAAAATATAAACAAAACGTACAGAATAACTGTTTCAGGCTTTATGTACGAGGTACCCTGAATGCAACACGTCACCCCCATTATCGAGGATCTCTGCATCAACCTCGGGCACAAAAAGACAGATTTCTTCTTTCCTGCTCAGAGTTCTCCTTTCACCTCCTCAGCACACAAAGAGGAGGCTGTGGGGAGTCTTTCATATGATCACAATCAGACTTAGAGATTTAAAACGTGTTTTTATTCTGTATTAACAGTGAGTGCTTGAAGGTGTGAGGTAACAGCTGCAGGGCTGCATGCCCGCGTCCATCACACAGGACACTGTGCGCCCTCTAGTGTGCGAGCAGGTGCAGTGCAGATGAATAGGTTTCACAGCATGAACCCCATCAAGTCCCCAGCTGTCTCACCCAGTGGCGGTCCTAGCCTGTTTGGCGCCCTGGGCGAACACTCCCTCTGGCATTGGATTTACAACATTATGAATGAAATGTGCTCTATCTGGAAGCAGCAGGCCCCTCCCCTTTCCACGGGTTGTGTGGGAGACTTTAAATCATCAAAATGTAAATTTTAAATTGTTATTGATCCTTTACCCCGAGTCCTAAAGTGTAGATTTATTTTCTTACTCCTCTTATATACATAGTTTATTAACTTGCACTGCTGTAGCTGCAGCCTCGTCGTCTCGTCTCTCTATATGCTGGACTGTCTGTAGTGGACATGACAATAAAGTTTACTTTGACTTCAGCAGCGAGAAGGCGCACCGAGGGCTCTGTATCATGATGTCTGGTGTTTTCGTGTTTGTTGTTTTGTTTTTATGTTGTTTTATTTTGTACGAGCAATGTTTTTGTACGAGCAATTTTTTATATTTTTTTTGCCGATGCCCGATGGTAACAGGGCAATTCTGTGCCCTGTTACCATGGTTCCGAAAACATATATGTATTTCTTGTCCACCCACCTCGTTTTTGGTTTTTGCCCTTTATCCCCGTCCCTCTTCCCCGCTGTTTTTCTTTCCCTCTTTCTTTCCCCAGTCATGTCTGTCCCGTGTGGAGCAAGTGAAAATAAAATAAACAATAAAAACAAAGATCAATCAAATAGACCAATTCAGCAAGGCTGGGATGGTCCATTTGGCAAAGTAAATCCGTTGGGCATCTTTCTTTGCCTTCAATAATTTTGATGGCAAAAGAGACAAACAGGACAGGCAGGGAAAAAAGAAAGAAAATGATCACATCGCATCACCAGTGATCGTCCGACGCAGCCATCAGAGTGTGAAGAAAGCACTTACAGGCATACAAGAGTATACACACATATATTATTACCTTAAACATATATTATTGTTGTAAAAAAGCACTCAGAGTAGAAATATTGGGTCATATGATAGTTGGGTTTTTCTCTGTATGTGTTATTGTAGGGTCTACCTTACAGTATAAAGCACCTTGAGGCGACTGTTGTTGTGATTTGGTGCTGTATAAAAAAATAATAATAATTGAAACATTAAACGCTTCCTCACAAGCCGTCTTAGGCCTGATTACTGTCATGTGATGATGATGTCACAGCACAATAATAGGCATCCTGCTGGAGGATGACATCATCATTGCATCTGACAGCAACATCAGCAGGTTCAAAGGTCAGCTGTGGTCCAGGAATCTGAACCAGTGTGAAAAAGTCTACAGTGGTCTCCATGGTAACAACAGGTCAGGGCACGAGGGTCCACGGGTAGATCGGTCGGTGGTGTTGCTCGTGAGCACAACGACCAGCTGTGTCCTGAAGATTTAAGTTATTTATGAACCCAGTGGGCTCGTTTCAGCGGCCTGATTTACAAAAACATAGAAACATAGCAAAACACACACAAGTTCAAAGACACGTCAGTGAGAAAGTACGAGAACACGCCTACATATTCAGCCACCCGGAGCATAAAGGCGCTGACTTCACGTCAAAGTGAGTCAAACATCAAGTCGCTTTTCGACATAAGCCCAGACTCTCGTTTCTACGGAGAACTCAGAAACACAGAAGAACCGAACGACAATGTGCAGAACCCAAACCCAGGATAAAGGGGTTCGGTGAATGTGGTGTGGAAGGTGTGGAGAAGGGTCTTTGAGCCAGAGCAGATTCTGTAGAAGGACAGCGTGCCCGCAGGCCAGTCCACATACACTCCTGCTCTGTTAGAGACAGAGGAGAAGGAGGAGGAGGAGATGTCTTTCCCTGTGTTGTTGTGCCACACAGAGTAGTGATCAACATCAGAGCACATCAGACTCCACGACTGACCGTTGCATCCAAACTTGCAGTCGACACTGTCTCCTCTCCTTCTGATTCCTCTGTAACTGACTGCGATATCCACCACTCCTTTCCACTCCACCTCCCAGTAACAGCGACCAGTCACACCGTGCTTGCACAGCAGTTGAAGGCAGAAGTCAAACCTCTCTGCGTGCTGGGCGTAAGGCTCCTGCGTCGACAGTGCCGTCACTTTCCTGTTGTTGTCGGACAGCTTGAGGTTTCTGTTGGCTGTGCTTGTGTCCAGTGTGAGTTCACAGAAATCTGAGAGAGCGGAGAAGAAACAGCAGCAGCGATTTGTCATATTTGCATGCTGAGTTAAGATGGCGCCGGTGTGCTTGACTTGCCATGTGTCTGTCTCGCCACTTTTTACCCTCCCTTTTCCCTTTACCTTCACTTATTGACCTCGGCACTGTGTTTTTTATTTTTATTTTTCTAGTCGTATGTTTATCTAGTGGTTGTGCACTGATTACATATGACAGGCAAACACTTTTAAATCTTCGTTCTTTCCATTTGTTTTGAGCCAACCCCTGCTGGAGTGTGGGCAGCGCTAATCTACCACAACTGGATTCGTCCTTCAGCTTCTCCTCCCTAATCTCCACAAGAAGCGCTACAGGAAGCGGGGAAGAAGGAGTGGCCGTCGCGTCCGTCTCAGGGCCTTTCTCAGAGCCAGAATTACGGACCATGTACATGCTCACCTGGACACGCCATCATTTTCTCCCTGGACTGCTCTGACGCTAAGTTGCTTACTCATTGCTGGATTTACCCAGTTGATCATCAAGCCTCCTCTGCCCGTTCTGAAACACGCTATCCTGCTCAGATTTGGATAACGTTGCGCCAGCGGGGATTTGTTGAAGCAATCTAAGCACATCGTGCTTCTAGAGGTGACTTACTACCCTGGCCACGGATTGCATTGCTTAATGTCAGGTCGCTGGTAAAAGACCTTTGTTTTAAATGCCTTTTCTCTACTAACAGCCTTGATGTTTTATCCCTTATGGAAACCTGGATTCGCCCTGGTGAGCTCATCCCTTTCTCTGAACTTCTTCCTTTGGACTGTGCCTATTTTAGTTCACTGACGCTTTTTGGTAGGGGAGGTGGTTTAGCCTCGGTTTTTATATATGACGTATATAATGTTCGGTAACTTTCCTCACCTAACTTTGCTAGCTTTGAAGCTCAGTTATTGGAGATGACTGCTTCCATGAGCACTCTGTGTGTGTTGGACTACCGACCACCCAAATATGACGAGTGTTTCATCTCTTGGGTTCCGTTCTTTTTAAATATGACTCTGTTCTTATTCTTGGTGAACATACACATCTGTTGTAAGGATGGCCTGCTTGCTTAAGACTTTCTGGCTTTTATGGACTCTTTTAACCTCCTTCAGTGGGTAAATGAACCAACCCACGTTAAAGGCCATATTTTGGACTTGGTCTTTACGTATGGCCTGGATATCTGCATTAAGGATATAAATGGGATTTCAGATCATTTCCCAATTATTTTTGATATTGGCTTATCTGCCGCTGGACCGTAGTCTGTAGCTACTTCTCGTCTGCTACGTGTACTCAGCTCTGAAGCTGTGTTAAAGTTTGCTGTGTCTTTTTTTAGTTTTGGCATTCATGATACCTGACTGCTGCTCAGTTCGCTCATCTGATGGTTATGCTGATATTTTGTTATCATTATTTTCATCTACCCTTGATTTGGCTGTACCTGACGACTGTTCTCTCTGTTCGGTTGATGGTTGTGCTAATATCCTGTTATCTCTTTGTTTTTCTATTCTTGATTCTGTTGCTCCCACTAAAATGAAGCGCCCTAGAACCTACTCTCATTGCTGGCTTAATGATACTACGCGTGCCTTACGACATGTTTGTCGCCGTGATGAGAGAAAGTGGAAAAAAGATAAACTTCAGGTCTCTTATGATATGTTACAGACTAGCCGCTCACAGTTTCAAACTGCTAAAATGGCTAAGGCATCTTTTCTTTCCAAAGTCCTTCTGGCTTATGGTCACAACCCCCGTATGCCGTGCCCGTGTTACTTTCGACTCTGAAGCAGCTGGTCGATCAACTGAAAAACACCAATGCTGTCTTTGATATTCTCCCATCACGCATTGTTAAGGGCTGCTATGATGTAATTGGACCGAGCATTTTATTCTTAATGAATTTTTCTCTACTCTCTGGATCTGTCCCACTGGCCTTTAAGCATGCTGTAGTCCAGCCTATTCTGAAAAAAAAGAATCTTGATTGTTATGATCTCTTGAAGTATAGACCGATCTCTAAGCTTCCGTTTCTGTCCAAGATCCTGGAGCGACTAGTTCTTTCTCAGCTTCAGGCATATTTAGACGCGAACAACATTGCAGAGAAATTTCAGTCTGCCTTTAAGCCGCAGCACAGCACTGAAACGGCCTTGCTTAGAGTTCTCAATGACCTTCTTGTAAGCACTGACTCTGGACACTCTGTGGTCCTGGTTTTATTGGACCTTCCCTCTGCTTTTGATATGGTTGATCATAACATTCTTCTACTAAGACTTGAGCATACTGTGGGTAAAAGAGGCACTGCCCTTAACTGGTTTAAATTTTATCTCGCTGACAGGTCTTTTTCGGTTAATTTGGGCAACTTCTCATCTTCCTCAGTACCTGTACGCTGTGGTGTATATAATGAGAAGAGAGGCCCTGTTCTCTTCTCATTATATCTGCTCCCCCTTGGAGCAATTTTTGAGAAGTATAATATTGCCTTTCATTGCTATGCTGATGATATACAGATTTATTTTGAGATTACTGACGATCTTGCTATGTCTTTTCACTATTTTCGTGAATGCATGCGTGAGGTTAAAGGTTGGTTCAAGAGTAATTCTCTTGTCCTGAACGAAAAGAAAACGGAGATCGTGGTGTTCGATAGTAAAATCCCCCGCGACCAATTGTGTGCTGCTCTGATGCCTTTTGCTAGCTCCCCTTCTGATTATGCCAGTAATTTGGGCATATTACTGGATAGCTCGTTTAAATTTGACAAGCAAATGTCTGCTGTTGTGAGGTCTAGTTTTAATCAGCTGTGCCTCATTTCTAAGGCTAAGCGCTATATTCCACACAATGACCTGGAAAAACTTATTTACGCATTCGTGACTTCCAGGTTGGACTACTGCAACTCTCTTTACATTGGCCTTTCCTCCTCTCTTCTCCTTAGATTGCAGACTGTCCAGAATGCGGCGGCACGCCTTTTGACGGGTAGCAGGAAATCTAAGTGCTCCTTTCAGAGCACTTAGATTTCCTGCTACCCAACTTCGTCTGGAGCAACCGTGTTCTCGGCTGAAGTCTCGGGGCGACCGTGTGTTTGCTGTAGCTGCCTCAGTCTATGGAACAATCTTCCTGCTGCTATCCGGGCGTCTGACTCTATGCCATTGTTTAAATCACGGTTAAAGACTTATTTATTTAATCTTGCTTTTCCATCTAGCTAATATTTGGTGTGTGTGTTGATACATTTTTATCTGTTATGCTTTGTTAAATACTTGTATGTATTATGATTGTCATGGTTTTATGTTTAATATGTGCTGGGTCCTTTCTCTTTCTCTTTTCCCTCCCATCTCCTTTTCCTATCTTATTTTGTCAAGCACCTTGGTATACCCTTGGTTTTTTAGTGTGCTTTAGAAATAAATATTATTATTTGATTATTATTATCAGTTGATGCGACGTCTGCTGATTTATGAAAAGACTGAAGAAAAACATCACAATGATTCATTGTTCTGGCTCTTTAGTCAAATTCAGAATAACCTGCAGATTGAAGCTATAACATATGCTGACTTCATGAATCAAAGAGAACAAACACTCACATTTCTTCAAACCAGGTTTCAGCCTCTGCTCTCCACCATGCTCCAGCCTGGATGACAAACAAAGTCTGAATGACACTTCAGAAAGATTTTTTAATGAATCACGACCTTCAGTCATATCCACCACTGAGATGAGCTGTAATCTGTGCTGCACACACAGACAGTCATAACTCTGAAGTGTGTTTCTGTTTGTGGTGCATTCTAGTGTTGCATTGAAGATTTTGTGTAGTCCAAAAAAGTTGACGTCCACACTCAGCCTCACATTCATTGTCTGATGACGACATTCACTCCGAGTCAGGTGGGCCCTTGTATAAGACGCTTTTTAGACTTAACAAAGACACACTCACCCAGATGTTACATTAAATGTTAACAAACAATGAATAAAGTCTCAGATCGTCTGATAACCAGACTAATTGAACATGGATTTGTCTTTAATCCAAGACTTCCCAAAGACTAAACCTTCAGTAGCTATTAGCAGCTGTGAACCAGCCAATCCCACCAGTGTGACACAAAAACACTGTGTGAGTCTCATTTTAATCTCTTGCCTGAGAATTTTAAGCTTCCAGTGTTGATGCTCCACTCCAGCAGAAAGCAGCTTGGTGGCGGTGTCCCCTGGATGGTTGTAGCTCAGGTCCAGCTCACTCAGATGGTAGGGGTTGGCTCTCAAAGCTGTGGCTAGAGAAGTACAGCCCTTCCCTGAGATCATACAGCCTGACAGGCTGAGTATGCACAGAGAGAGAGATATAAAATGAAATCAGCTCGAGATGTTATTGGTATCTACTACCATACGAAATTTAAACATGATAACTTGAAAACTGTGGATGCTAGACTGTTAACAAGCAAACAAACTGAACTGATTATATGTGCCTTATCTTTGAGGGGAGAATGAACAAAGCCATGATGCTCTAACTGTCTGCATAATGTCGTCACTGGAATTTATATAGATTCATTTGCTGACACAGAAAAATAAGACAAAAAATGTAATGCTTTACGTTTAATTGAAATTTACAGGCAATGTTCTTTCGGTCCTTACACGTGTGATTGTGGGGGGGTGAATGATCTTGACTTACTTGAGTTTCTCCAGTCTACAGCTTGGACTCCCCAGCCCAATAGACAACAGCTTCACTCCTGAATCGTGCAGGTCGTTGTTACTCAGGTCCAGTTCTCGCATGCTGGATGGCTCAGAGCTAAGAGCTGAGGATAGAGCTGAACAGCTTCTCTTTGACAGATTGCATGCACTCAGCCTGGAGGAGAGTTAGTGAAACAAAGTGATACTCTTTCACATGGAGCAAGAATAGCAACAACAATAACTATACAATTTTTTGTTTACTCGACTAAAATGATTCAGTAAGACAAATCAGTATGACACAGACTGAAAATGTTATTGGTTGACAAAACCCCTATATACGTATTACGTATTATCTGTCCACCTACAGAACTTTGCTGGATTCTTTCGTTATTGGTAGCAGTCTCAGAAAAGCATCCTCTGAAGCAAAAACTGAGTATTTCTTCAGATCAAACACGCCCAAATCTTCTTCCGATGACAGCAAGATGAAGACCAGAGCTGACCACTGAGCAAGAGATAGTTTTTCTGTGGAGAGCCTTCCTGATCTCAGGGACTGTTGGATCTCCTCCACTAGAGAAGAATCATTTAGCTCATTCAGACAGTGGAACAGATTGATGCTTCTCTCTGGAGACAGATTCTCACTGAGCTTCTTCTTGATGTACTGGGCTGTTTTCTGATTGGCCAGTGGGTTACTGTCCGTCTTGATCAACAAGTTCTGTAGTTTCTCCTGGTTGGTCTGCAGTGAAAGACCCAGAAGGAAGCGAAGGAACAAATCCAGGCTTCCATTTGGACTCTTTAAGGCCCTGTCAATGGAAATCCTGTGGATCTTCTTCGAAGATGTTTTGCTAAAAAGGAGTCGAAGGTTTTTCAGAGACATTCGTGGTAAAGGCATCACATTTTTGTTGCTGTTTATTAGAGACATCTTCACATAAAAAGCAGCCAGAAAATCCTGAACACTCAGATGGACGAAGCTGAACATCTTGTCTTTCCCTTTCCTCCCTCGCTCCTCTTTAAAGATCTCTGTGGAAACTCCTCCACATGCTGAGACAAAGTCAATGCCGCTCTCTCTCAGATCCTTCTCATAGAAGATCAGGTTGCCCTTTTCCAGCTGCTCAAAGGCCAGTTTTGCTAATGATGTAATGTATTGAATGCTCTTCTCTGGGCCATACTTTTCTTTTGTCCGATCAATCTGAAACATCAGGAACTCTGCGTACATCTCAGTCAGAGTCTTGGGCAGCTCTCCTCCCTCTCTGGTTTTCAACACATCCTCCAGAACTGTTGCAGTGATCCAGCAGAAGACTGGGATGTTACACAGGATTAGGAGACTTCGTGATGTTTTGATGTGGGAGACAATCCTATTGGCCTGTTCCTCATCTTTGAATCTCTTCCTGAAATACTCCTCCTTCCGAGGCTCAGTGAACCCTCTGACCTCTGTGATGCTGTTTATAAACTCTTGGGGGATCTGATTGGCTTCAGCAGGCCGTGTGGTTATCCAGATGCGAGCAGAGCATAACAGTTTTCCATTAATGAGTTTTCTTAGCAGGACATCTGTTACTGTTGCCGTTGTTACATCGACAGAGCGAATGTCTTCAGAATGAAGGTCGAGATGAAGGCGGCTCTCATCCAGCCCATCAAACACAAACAGAAGTTTGAATTTACTCTTGTCATAGTTGGTGATTCCTGATGACTGAACATCTGTAAAGATGTAATTAAGAGCCTCCTGTGGGATGCCTACAGTTTCTGGGATGCATTCATGAATGAGCTCTGCCAAACTGAACTTTTCTCCCTTCAGAGGATTCAGCTGACGGAAGGTGAAGGGGAAAATCAGATGCACATCTTGATTGGATCTTTTTTCAGCCCAGTCCAAAACAAACTTCTGGACAAGGAAAGTTTTTCCAATTCCTGCGATTCCATTGGTCATCACTGTTTTGATGGGTTTGGATTCTCCAGAAGGATGCTCAAACATGTCTGTGGGTTGAATTGATTTCTCTGCTTCTGCTGGCTTCCATGCCTTTTCTAACGTTCGGACCTCATGCTGTGTGTGGAAATGTGCGCCACACCTGGCTGTGATGTACAGCTCTGTGTAGATATCAGCCAGATGCTGTGTGTCTTTTGCCCACTCTTCTTCTGCACCCAAAAATTTATCCTGGAAATTTGACTGAAGCATCTGCTGGTAAAATGTGATGGGATGTGGCTCTGGTACTGGAACCATCATATCTATGTCAAAAATGAAGGATAAAAAAACGAAAGTGTAAAGTGTATAATTAAGATATCGAGGATTATTCAGCCCCGAGCCCATATCAGGTTTACTGGCATAAATTACGATGTTTCAGCAGTTTGTAGTCATTATAATTTTATACATTTTAAGATATTCCTTAAACCAGTGATATAAAGACTAGTGCTAATGAAAGTATACAATGGTCTACTCTTTTGGTTTCAGATGGTAGTAGTTGTTACCAATATGGAGAAAAAAAATTTTATATAACATTTTGAAAAAACTCTTATAACGTCATTTAAGTGATTTGGTTATGGCAAACAGCAGAAAATGTGTTCATACACTTAGGTTGATATGGGAGGTGAATAACTACAAATCATGTTTTCTTTGCTCAGTTTCCCATGTTGTTATCCTCCCATAAACGGCAGAAAAGAGTGAATAACTTCATTGTTTTAGCTAACTACAGAGACACTACTGCTGTGTTTACCAAGCTTTGAAGTGAAAGTTTCAGTTTAGAACTTTGACCTTTAGTTTAAATCTTCTCTAGTAAGCTATGTCCAAGGTAAACTGCAAGTATGCTAGGTAGTATATAGAATGATTAAAACACAATAGTCTAGTGAAATCTCCAACTAGGGCTGAGCGATATGACCTAAAATCCACATCATGGTATAATTTGAAGCATGTGCGGTAACAATATGTAACACGATATATTCTTTTCTTCTGTATAACGTATTTTACACACTATAAGGCGCACTTAAAATCCTATAATTTTCTCAAAAATCGACAGAGCGCCTTATGTATGAATTCTGGTTGTGCTTATTGACCTCGAACCAATTTTATGTGCTACACGGTGCTCAAAAATCTGTCAAAAATGTTTTGGTCTGACTTTGCTAAGCTACGAAGCCGCATCGCTTGATGGATTGTTGGAGTATTACAGCTGCCGTAGTCAGGAGTGTCACGGAGTAATCTGGGTCCTAAACTCTGTCAGGTTCAGGTCCCAAAGTCAAACGATCAGTGCAGCATCACTGAGAGTCAAAAGCTGTCTAAATTATTTCATCTTTAATAAAATGATCAGCGTTGCTGCTTTACCAGGTGTAACAATTAAGTTTAACATCCAGGCATCCATGAAAACAGAATTTATTACATTTAACAGAGTTAGAAGTTAGCAGGAAGTTAGCTCGCTAGTTTCGCTAGTTACCTAAACATGATATAGCATGTTCAGACTGAGAGATTTCTAAAACAAATTCAAACGTACAGCTCTACTATCACTTCCAACATAAATGAAGACAGAAAACTAAACAGCAGTGACGTTTATAGGGTTGCACTACTCTGCCTGGTTTGCACTAAATGTCATTTACCCTTATATTGTATATTGTATAGCTTTCTTGTTATATGTAAAATTGTATTATATTATTAAAAAAAAATTTTTACTTTAAAATATTTTACTTGCATTTTTAATCACGCTTATATTTAAATGTTCATTTTCTATTTTATCTAGGGATTGAGAGTAACGAAGTTTCTATTCTCTGTATGTCCTGTACATGTGGCAGAATTGACAATAAAGTTGACTTTGACTTTTTTGACTTTGACTTACTGAAGTTGGGCTAGCTGGTATATAATGTTGTGCTACGTGATCGCTAGCAAAACAGCTACGTTAGCATAGCATTAGCACAGTGAAGCTGGAGGATGAGCGCTAACTTCTTTCCACTCAATAAAAGTTAACATGAGGCTTTCTGGTGGTTAGAGACAAATGCAATCACATGGCAGGATGCTGTAAATGGACCAAACCTCAGTCAGGAGAACAACTGAGATAATTCATCCACAATACGAGGTTAGTCATTAATATACTGCTACAACATGGGAATAGAGCAGCTGCAGAGAATTCAGCATTAATGAATCAATGGTATGGAAGTGGAGGAAGCGCAGTTTTTGGCTTTCCCCATATTCCAAAAGTGCTCTGTCTCTTTGCTATTACTGTCGCCCGCCATAATTTCCAGTTTATGCTGTTTATGCTACTTTCTCTGTATCTATGAAGCGCCTTGAGGCGACTTTTGTTGTGATTTGGCGCTATATAAATAAAATTGAATTGAATTGAATTGAATTGTTTGCAGCCGCTGCAATGCTTTCGACCAAAACAGGCAGCTTGATGACACCATCAACATGCGCTATCGTAGTAGAGCGGTATAGTCAAAATGTCTGTGAAGGTTCTCAGTCATCCAGGTCATCGTAGTCAAAGGAGCTTGCAAAGAAAAGCGTCTGGGACCCACACCCAGTTTCACACCTTGGCTCAGGCGATTAGAGGATCATCAGGGGTCCTTTTGTCCCTCTGTGGGGGGAAACTCCCACTAGGTTTATATCTGGGACTCTCCACCATTTGACCTTAGAACTGAAGAAGCTTCTCGGATAAGAGGTGAAACGTCTTCAAGCAACTTAAAGAAGTCCAGACGCTTTCCTTTACCAGCTCCTTTGACTATAGTCAAAATCTCTACTGTTGGCCAAATTTATATCGTTTCTACCGCCCATCCCTATCTCCAACCTTTGTAAAGTTAAAATTCAGTAAAAGATTTGGATTAGAAATGCAACGACATCACAAATATTGAGTATTTGTTAATTAGCCAATCATCACGTTATCAAACCTGACAGTAGTTTTACCATCAGTCTCAGAAGTAGGAGCCTGAGTCTTAGAGGAGAAAAGTCCTTTCTTCTTTTTAGCCTTCCCAACACTGCCGTCATCTCCTTTCTTCTTCGTAGTCTTCCCACCATCTTCATTATCCGCTTCTTCCTTTGAAGTCTTCCCATCACTGTCATTGTCCCCTTTCTTCTTTGGGCTCTTCCCACCATCTTCATCATTTACTTTTTCCTTTGAAGTCTTCCCATCATTGTCATTGTCCCCTTTCTTCTTTGGGCTCTTCCCACCATCTTCATTATCTGCTTTTTTCTTCGAAGTCTTCCCATCATTGTTATCGTCATCTTTCTTCTTTGTGGTTTTCCCACCATCATTTTCATCCCCTTTCTTCTTTGAAGTCTTCCCACCATTGATGTGCACTGATAGACAAACAGACATTATGAGCATTAAAAGAATATAACCTGCACTTTGTTGAACCTTTTCAGACAGCAGTGTTTGTCTCTTCCTGTGACTGACCTTCGGTTGTTGGGCTGCTGACAGAAAAACTCTGCAGCAGGTCATTTCTGTTAATTCTCTCTAAAACCACCTTGGTCACCTCCAAAGCTCCTTGGAGTTCATAGGTTTGTATGATCAGGTCCACAGTTTCCAGTCGCTTTGACGTCTCCAGACGGCTCTTTCTGATGGCAGGGCGCCCCCGAAGGACATCACCATGCTGCAGGAACCACTTGAATTTATCAAACTCTTCATCTCCCAAATCTTCCAGAGTGTTTAAGAGGTCCTCTGATGTCATCACGTCAGATAGTACTGCAGGCTCTTGTGGTACAACTGCTTTATTGGTCTCTGTTTACCTGTCAAACATGAAATCAGACTTTAAAATATCAGCTGTTCCCTTTATACAAATAAAGTTTATTAACAGGTTATTATGATTCTCTGTTTGTCTAAATTGAGATCAGTTCATGGAGCGCCTCGTTGGAAAATAATGCAAATACAGCATTAGAACTTTGTGGCTGGAAACATGGAATGAGATGTCTGATTGTCAGTGATTGTCTGTAATTGTCTGAGTGTCAGTGACTGCCACTGACTGTCAGTGATTGTCTGTATTTGTCAGTGAGTGTCTGTAATTGTCAAAGATTGTCTGTAATTGTCAGTAATTGTCTGTCCATCAAAAGATGGCGCCAGTGTGTTCGGCAGCCCGTCTCCACTGCTCTCTGCTGCTTCTTACCTTTCTGCTAATATGCTATTCAGGTGGCTCTGCATTGCTAACTTATGACCGGCTTACTCTTCTAAGTCTCCGGCCACCCTATCCCCCGACTTTCTGGGAGCACTTTACCTTTAGATTGTTTAGGCATCGATGGATTCGCTATGCTGAGTTGCAGGCCCGCCCTGTCGCCCCAGTGGTTTATTCGCTGGCTCCATGTTGGATTAAGCCTCCTAAAGGCGGCGTGTGTTATGGCAACCTATGCCGCCCGAGACGTGCTTCCAACTGTGACTCGGCGTTTTCGACTCGGATGGCGCTATTAAATGTTAGGTCGCTGACTAATAAGACTTTTATTGTGAGCTATTTTTTTACTGCTACAGGACTGGATTTACTATTCATGACGGAAACTTGGATTCGTCCCGGTGAGTCTTTCCCTTTCTCAGAGCTCCTTCCTCCGAATTGTGCCTTTTTTAGCTCACCGAGACCTTCGGGCAGGGGTGGAGGACTAGCAGTGGTCTTATCACTGGCGATTTTAACATTCACATTTGTTGTAAAGATGATGTGTTTGCCAAGGATTTTCTAGCCTTAGTTGACTCTTTTAATCTTATCCAGTGGGTTAATGCACCTACCCACCTTAAAGGACATACCCTTGATTTGATTTTTCTTATAGACTGGACATTTGTATCAGGGGCATCAGCAACATTGGAATCTCCGATCATTTCTCAGTCGTCTTTGATGCTGAGTTATGCAAATTGGACCAGAGCTTTGAGGGTCCTCGACGTCTTGTGCGCATAATCAATCCTGGGACTGTGGCTGAATTTTCGGCTGCTTTCTCTAAATCTGTTCTCCCTGACTTTGATAGTTCTACACCCTCTTCAGTTGATGATTTTGCTAACTCCTTTCTCTCTACCTGCTCCTCTTTACTGAACGTTGTGGCCTCTATGAAAGTAAAACGACCTAGAAGCTGCTCTCAGCCGTGGCTAAATGACTCTACACGCTTTACGACGCGTTTGCCACCAAGCTGAGAGACGGTGGAAAAACGATAGGCTCCAGGTGTCTTTTGATATCGTTCGCAGGACCCACCTGGAATTTCAGAAATCTGCTAAGTTGGCTAAAGCGGCTTTTCTGTCGGGTGTCATTGCGGATAATAGTCACAACCCACATATTTTATTTAAGACTTTTAACTCATTGTCCAATCCTTGTCCTGAAATGCCTAGATTGGCTTCCTTAGCCCGTTGTGAAAATCTTTTAACTCATTTTACAGGCAGAATCTTATCTCTAAGAGTCTCACACCCCCTGTGATGAGTCAGGCCCCAGCATTACGATGCTCTACTAACCTCAATCAGTTTGATCCAGTTTCGCTCCCTACTCTTAAGGGCATAACTGATCACCTAAAAACTCAAACGCTGCTCATGACATCCTTCCATCTCACATTATTAAAGATGGGTTTAACATTATCGGGCCCTGTATTTTATCATTAATTAACCTGTCACTGTTATAAACACACTGTAGTGCAACCTATACTCAAAAAGAGCTCCCTTGATCAGAATGACCTCGCTAACTTTGGACCTATTTCCAAACTCCCGTTTCTGTCTAAAATCCTAGAGAAGATTGTTCATTCCCAACTTCAAACTTATTTGGATGCAAATAATATCGGGGAAATTTTCAGTCGGGGTTTAAGCCACGCCATAGCACGGAAACTGCATTACTGAGAGTCTTTAATGATCTTCTCTCAATTGCTGACTCAGGGCGCCCTGTGGTGTTAATTTTGCTTGATTTGTCCTCTGCTTTTGATTTGGTGGACCATAATGTCCTTTTAATGAGGCTTGAGCATCTGGTGGGCATCACGGGCAGTGCCCTTAGCTGGTTTAAATCTCTCAGAAAGGTCCTTTTCTGTCACCATGGGTACCTGCTCCTCCTCCATTGCCCCTGTTACCTCTGGTGTCCCCCTGGGGTCTGTGCTGGGTCCCATGCTGTTCTCTTTATACTTGTTACCCTTGGGCCAAATCTTTGATAAATACAATATTTCTTTCCACTTCTATGTGGATGACATTCAAATCTATTTTGAACTAGCTGAGGATGTCACGTCGTCGTTGCAACACTTCTCCGATTGTATGAATGAAGTTAAAATCTGACTACTGAGCAATTCTCTTATTCTAAATGATAAGAAGACTGAAATTGTAGTCTTTGATAGTCCCTCCTCTCGGGCTGAACTAACTGGTATTTTTGGGCCCTTTGCTGACTCCCTTTCTGACACTGTGAGGACCCTGGGTGTTGTCTTGGACAGTTCCTTCAAGCTGGACAAACTTGTGTCCTCTGTAGTTAAATCGAGTTCAATCAACTACGTCTAAGGCCAAGCCCTACTTACCACGTAAGGACCTGGAGAAACGTATCCATGCCTTTGTTACATCCAGATTAGATTACTGTAATTCCCTTTACACTGGTCTCCATTCTGCCCTTGTTCACAAACTGCAGCTCGTTCAAAATGCGGCTGCGCGTCTCTTAACTGGAGCTGGCAGGTTTGAGTCTATTACTCCAGTTCTTTCCGACCTGCACTGGCTCTCTATTAAACTTCATATTGATTTTAAAATCTTATTGCTCACTTTTAAAATCATAAATAGCACCGCGCCCAGCTATCTTAGGGATCTCCTCAGCTTTCATACCCCTGGGAGAGCGCTTAGATCAGGCCAAATGCTCCTGGTGCGACCTAGATCTCGGCTCAAGACCAGAGGTGACCACGCATTCGCCGCTGTCGCATCCTACCTATGAAATAACCTCCCTCAAGGCATCAGATTCAATTCAATCTTTTAAATCTTGATTAAAAACTTATTTGTTTAGCCTTGCTTTCCCGCCTCCTACAGCCCACATTTTTGGTGTACTGTAAGTGATCTTTTTCACTTTATTAATATTTATAATGTTTTAACCTTCAGCCTTTCGGGTTGTGCCTGCTACACCTGGTGTATTATTGGTTAGTTATGTCACCCGGCTGTTAGTATATTTTATTTGTATTTATTATTGCTCTAACTCGTTCTGTGAAGCACTTTGGCATACCTGTGGTTTTTTAAATGTGCTACATAAATAGAATTGTATTGTATTGTCTGTGTCAGTGTCAGTGAGTGTCTGTGATCCTTTTTCATGCTTCAGCTCAGTGCTAAAACGGAGCAGCTCTGGTGTCACTCATTGATGCAGTCTCTTTCCTCTGCCTCTCACTGATTGGTGCAGCTTTGTAAACTGCTTTCTTTCATGCACTTCACAAGAATAAAATGATCGTGAATTTCTTGCTTGGTAACTCATGTGTGCTGACAGTCTGATATCACACAGCACCACCCAGCAGCAGCGGCTCACCTGCAGAGCCGCACCCTGCCTGACCGTCAGAGCTGTCGAAGTTTCCAGAGTGGATTTGTGCTCAGTGAGCAGGTTTATGTTGAACTTGTGTGGCAGAAGTTAGAGCTGCTGTTATCCCCGGCAGCTTTACACATCTAAGGCAGCGGTCCCCAACCCCCGGGCCTCGGACCGGTACCGGTCCGTGAGTCGTTTGGTACCGGGCCGCGAGAGTTGAGGCTCAGGTCTGAAATGTAGTTTTCAGCGTTATTTTGTTATCGTTTTTATCGTTTCATTCCTGGGTCTTTTCCTGTGTGTTATGAATAAATTTTCTTTTTTTCGGTAGCGGTACTAGTTTTATTTTGTTGTATTTATCTGCGACACCTTAAAGGCCGGTCCGTGAAAATATTGTCGGGCATAAACCGGTCCGTGGTGCAAAAAAGGTTGGAGACCGCTGGTGTAAGGTATACAGAGACATGAAATAAAACCAATAAAACCACAAGAAATTCACAGTGAAACACAAAACTATGAGAAGGTAATAAAACTGTAAACCTTAACTGCAACCCTGATTCGCTGTCTTTAATCTTTACCTTGAAATACCTCATGTCTGTGTTTACTTGGTCTGGCCCGTATATGATAAACCCTATATGAGAATGCTGACTTTAATCTATACAGATTCCCGGGAGATTATAGTTTACACAGAATGAGATTAAATTCCTGGTGGCAGTGTTTCACATGAATCATATACAAACTGTCTGAAAGCTTTTTTTTCCAGAGCGAAGCAGATGATAGACCAAACATCCCTTTGCATTCTTTGCTGTTGTTTGGTGCTACAAAAGTTCATTACAACAACTGAATTATTCAGTCGAGAACTTCTTCAATCTTGTGGAACAGCACCAGTAACAGATGCAAGGTTTCACTGATGGTTACATTAAATCTAAAGATGCAGCAAACGAGCAGAAAAAGGTTTCCTGTAACCATACGTGCTGCAAAATAATGTCCAAGCATGACTCGATTTAAACTCTAATACAAGAAGATGATCGTCACAGGTACAGAGAGGAGCGCTCATCACAGCGCCGTGTCAAAGATGTCGTTTTTTACTGGGTTGGTGCAGCTTACATTGTTTTATGTGTGTAGACTTGTATATGCCTGATTATGTTATACTGAGCCATGTTGATTCATAAATGATTAAATAGCATTAATGAGGGTGGATTGAAAAAGTCTCCATCCTACTGCTCTGCCTGAGTATTGTTTGATATATAAACTTTTTCATGTAGATGTTATTCGTCGTGAAATCCAGATTTATTTTAACTTGTGTGCAGAAAGCAGCTCTGGGACACACTGTTAATGCATCTGAAGTCTGCTGTAGTAAAACTGGAAACGAATGAAAGTGATGGTTACGCTCAGAGCCCGCTGTATGCAGACGAGTGCATACAGAGAGCGTCAGCAGCACTCTTGAACGCAGCCGTCTGCACTCACCTGTGTTTGCAGAAACACCTGACGGACGCATGCAGCTCGTCCTCTGCCTCCAGGTACGCTCGGTGCCAGGTGAGGTGTGGGCTGTTCTGAGGTCAGGCACTGCGATCTGTAAACTTCTTTCTCTGTGCGGCGCAGCGAGTCAAGTCAGCGGCGACGAGGGCTTCTGGTCATTCTGCGTTCCTGAGAAAGGTGCGCTCAGGTAAACGTCCCTCTGAAGGCTGAGAGGTTGTTATGAGCTGAAAGTCTGCTGACACATTTCATATGAAAAACGTTGGAAGGATTTGGATCTGGGCTCCGCCTCTCTCTGCACTGTCCTTAGACACATTCAGGCAGGTGTGTTTGTCAGGTAGATAAGGTTACCTGCAGCCTCACTTCCACAGAACTGCATCACCCCTACAGCCTCTGGCATTCCTTTAATATATAACATATCTGGCTGCAGCTACGGGTGTGCATACAGGGGCCTGAAATGTTTCCACAGCCAAAGAGCCAATCAAAGCTCAGGACTGAGAGAAAGCAAGTTGGTTTCCTGTCAAATTCTCCACACAGGTCAGAAACTTTTATCCAGAGTGGCTGATGGGAGCAGATCCTTCGCCTCCATCAGGTGCCAAATATTTCACCATTGCCTTTTATTAAAGAATAATCCCTCTGATCGGTTATCATCAGCACGACAGCACACGGGACTCAAACACTCCCACTAACAAACGTTAATGTGTGAGTCAGTGCAGCATCACCAACTGTGATTATTTGATCTGTCAAGCCATTTCTGCGTCACCCCCTCTGATGCATGTTGATCTGATAAACGGCTTAGTTTCATCCTGCGCTCCTTGTTCCAACAAAACAGGAAACAAGCTTATATATGCATTTGCCCTGGAAGCCTGTCCACTCAAACCCAAAGGGGACGCATTTGTGTCACATAATGAGCAACTGCAACCACTAAAGGAGCAAGATAAGTACAGCCCGCAGTGAAAACTGCCAACAGCCTGGAGCAAAGTTTCAGGAGAAGGTGCCAAACCTGCAACGACTGTGACAAACTCAAACATTTTCCTGGGAATCAGCCGGGCAAGACTGGACCCGTCTGTCTAGATCCTGGGGTGGCAGCGGGGCAGGAGACGTTTGTCCTCAAACCTGCCGATCAGGTGGTTAGACAGAAGATTTGTAGGCTCTTGTATTTCTGCAGGTAATACAGGAACAACAGGACTGCTGTCAGTGTTTGAAATGTGGCACACAGAGGGCAGCAGCCGTCTCAGCTCATTAGATTAGAAAACAAACTTCCAGTTTAGGTGAAAGTTTCTCTTCATCCTGGGAATTATTACTCTGCTGTCATTCAAATCAAATCAAATCAAATCACTTTTATTGTCACATCACA